TTGCTGCTGACATCCATCTGGATTCATCTCAAAAGGCATTAAGAAGTTTCTCTGACAGGCAGCAACTGCTATGGAAAAGAGCTAAAAGGTGAAGGGGAACTCCCTTGGGTTGGACACTATGTCCTGGTTTCTTCGCAGGGTCACAGCTCATTGCTCCATGCTGCAAGACCACTTTTTTGTATGTAAAGAAACAAAGCAAGCTTTGGATGTGCCAGCAGTTAAGCTTCTCCAATACATGAATTGACCCAGTTGCCCTCAGCTCCTTCCAGCCACCCAGGCTCTCCCTTTAGTTTTACTTTAGGCTTCCAGCTTTCCTTTGAGTGAAATCTAGAGCACTTCATTGCACAAGTGCAATATTGCATATTACACATACGCAACATGTCCCCAAGGGATTAAGGGCACCTTGATATGGGCAAAGGGTTGCCCTTTTTTGCCAGCAGCTCTGCTCCCATTTTGGGGTGTCATTCGCACCTGTCCCTGGATGCTAGCACTCGCCACATTGCTCCCCCATGGATGACGCATTATAGAGCACAATCAGACCTATTGTGCAGCTCTAAAACAGTTTTTGCTTTAATCTGCCGGGCTGGGGGGAACAGCACAAGGATTTTTATATCTAATCCAATAAATCTACACTGACATCTTGTGGAGATCATGAGACCAGAGTGCCACAGCCACTCAGCAGGGTGGGATTTACACCCTCCTGGTGTCCTCCTCGACAACATCTCAGTGGCAGGTGAACTTCCAAAACACCTGCAGGTGTGAACACAGTGAAAAACAGGCCCAGCAATCTCAGCAGTCATCACTCTCTGCCCATGAACATCGTTTTGCTAAGCGACAGTCACAAACCCCATTAAAATGAGACTATTTACTTTTAAATCCTCACTGAAAGCAAACCCATGGCACCTCTTACATAAATGCCACAATGCTTGAGGCTTCTCAAAGCACAAGCTTCCAATGAGGAATTATTTTTATTGCTGGAATTTTATTATCCCTGTAGGTGCTGAAAGAAAATGGACCTGAGTAGCAGTCTAGGACTCCTTTAATGCTCTTCTTCATTTAAAAATACATTGCTTAAGCAAAAACCACCTGCAGCTGGGAACATGTGCAGGATTTTCCTCCCTATTCATTCCATTCCTTTTAGCTCCTCTGCCAGGTCAGAAGGGTTAAATTAAGCCACGGCCATCCTTCTTCATCTGCTCAGGTGAGTGTTCAAGGAGTACAACCCCCTGTGAGGCACAGGCCGCGTCAATGCCACAGCGTAATTGCTTGGTAGGGCTGCAATCCCAGCACAGATAATCTTGCAACCAATCCATACAATCATTCCTCCAGCTTCTTCCTAATACCATGCTAGGGAGCAAACATTCACAGTTGCTTCATAGAGTGGTTTTGGTTGGAAAGGACCTTAAAGATCATCCAGTTTCAACACTCCTGCCATAGGTAGGAACATCTTCCACTACAGTAGGTTGCTCAAAGCCCCATCCAACCTGGCCTTGAATACTGCCAGGGATGGGGCAGCCACAGCTTCTCTGGGCAAGAACGCAGCTCTTTCTTCCCAGAGCTGTGCCAGTGTCTCACCACCCTCACAGTAAAGAACTTCTTCTTAATATCCAATCCAAATCTACCCTTTTTCAGTTTAAAGCCACTCCCCCTTGTCCCATCACTCCATGCCATTGTAAAAAGTCCCTCTCCAGATTTCTTGTAGGCCTTCTTTAGTCACTGGAAGCTGTTCTAAGGTCTCTCTGGAGCCTTCTCTTCTCCAGGCTGAACAAGCCCAACTCTCCGCACCCAAGCCCATAGGAAAGGTGCTCCAGCCCTCTGATCTTCATGGCCCTCCTCTGAACTCACTCAAGCAGGTCCACATCCCTCTTGTGTTGGGCACCTCAGAGCTGGACACAATACTGCAGGTGCAGTCTCACAAGAGCAGAGTAGAGAGGCAAAATCACCTCACTTGACCTGCTGGTCATGCTCCTTTTGATGCAGCCAGATACGGCTGGCTTTCTGGGCTGCAAGCGCACACTGCTGGGTCATGCTGAGCTTCTTGTCAACCAACACCCTCATTATGCCTTTACAAATTATATGGGCCCCTTTCAGTCCCCCTTCTTCCCTTGCTATGCCAACACAGAGTCACCACCCTCTGCAAGGTCTTCCACCCATGCCAGTGCCTCCATCTCCTCTGAGATGGCCAGAGACCCTCTGGAACCACTGCAGTAGCATGAGATGGGTGGAAAATTGAGGTTACAAGGGTGTGATGAAAACGTGAGAAAAAGGAGCTTGGACCTCTTCACAGGGTAGCAGCTAAGCTGGGGAAGCCATGCTGTCATTCACAGTGCTATGCCTTTGCTTGCAACTTTGCAGTAGTAGCTCAGCCATCTCAGCTCAGCAAGATGTTCTGCTGCTGCATATCCATTGTAGCCACCCCAGAGGAGAAAACTGTTACCTAGAAATCACACATAGACAAGGTTCACCGCAATTAGGGCTCCAGATCAATTATTTGCTCCATTTTCTCACGCTTCTCGGGACAGTGTGAACTGACCCAGCCCCCCCAAGCCAGACAACTTTCCAATGTGGGTGTCACAGAGGTATAGCATTAGCAGCACATTAACAAGACCTCAGCTTCATGCATGAAGAAAACGTAAGACCACAGAACACAACAAATGCTATTTTGCCTTGAACAGATCTTAATGCTAAGCCCATGAAGTCACACATAGTATCACCTAACCAGTTACAAGAGGGGAAAACCAACCATCATTAAGAAAAGCCTGAATGACTCCAGTGTGGGAATCACTGGCTGCAGCATTGGCTGCACTCTGAACAGTGGCAAACAGCTCTTATTCTCTGGGCTGCAAGAGGAAAGGGGTGATTTTTATGGTCGTCTGTAAGCAACACTTTAAATGCCTGCAAGCCTACTACCAAGAAGCATACACACCAAAACCCCACACACATAAAAGCCCTGACACTTGGGCTCTCTTAATGTGCCTTGAGCAGTCCCAGTAAGCATCCGTACATACATGCAGCTAGGTCTGATTATTCAAATCCTGTTGCCAAGTATTAACTCCCAAATCTATATTTAAGCACCTAAGTAGGAATTACTACAGCTTTCCAAAGATCCTAAGTACCGAAAGCTCTTGTTAAGAGCTTGTCAAAGTACTGACCTCCTAATGAATCTGTTTAAATGATAACACTGACCTCACTCCCAGTGCTGTGAAGTTTAGTGCTTCCACACACAGCTAACACTTCCAAACCTCTGCCAGTAAGGGCTGAACTTCTGAGTGTTCCATCTTTCACATCAGAACACATTAGGTGCAAATATACAGAGAAGCCATTTCTAAAAGCCAATGGTGAATTCAAAGTCACTGTACCTTGTTTTAGAAAAGGCTTGAAATTAAGCAGAATGCCAGCCGTGCAGCATAGTTTGGTAGAAATTTGGGAAGAACAGTATTTCTGAAGTAAAACATATCTGGGCCTTGAACCAAAAATTAAAATTATCCTAGTAATAAATGTGGATATTTTTATATAACTCTCACTCTCTCCATTCCAAAGCCAGCAAGTTTCTGAGCATTTCTGCAGGATTTGAACTTTGCTGTTCTTACAGCTAAAAAGTCAAAAAGCTGCTTTTCCTTCCCACTGCCCAAGTCTTGCCCTTTGCCAGACAGGCAAACTCAGGTCCTGCAGACAAGGAGAACACGGCAATAATATTCCAACTCACAGAAAAAGGCCAACTCTTTGTTTTTCATTTGCTTTCTTGCAATTCTGCTTTAAAAACCAGTTTGCCTATGAAGCCAGTGTTTTACCTTCACTCCATAGCTTCCTCCTTCCTGCTTGAGTTGTGAGGAAATGTGAGAAAAAGATAGCTTATTTATAGAGCCAAGAGCTGCTTAAGTGTTTGGAGTGAATGCAAGAGAACAAGAACACAATATGCAAGTCTGGGAATGCTCTGGAAAGTTAAGCAGTGAGAAGTAATTCAGGATTCTCAATGACTGAGTGGGCAATTCGGGATGAAAATTTAACCAAAGACTGACTGAGGTAAAATATACTGCAAATGCTTAATAGATACAAAGGGCCATATACATTTAATTAGAACAAAGGATCAGCTAGAAAATGTGAAGTTACTTCACCAGCATCAGAGGTCTAGACAGAAAACAGCAGTGGTATCATGTGACAGCAATCTGAAGGCGACAACTCTCCTTGCCAGCAACATCAAGTCCTCTTTCTAGCCCTGCAGATGCAGCAGATAAGGCCTCAGCTCCAAACATTGTAGTAATCATGAAACTGATTGCTCTAATGAAACAAAACTTTATGGATTATCTGACAACCAGACCCATTTTTTAAACAAATACTGACGGGAAGCTGGTCATGGATGTATGCACGGTGGGAGAGACTTCCCATATTGTTTTAAGTAACTCAGCAGTATTATGCTGTGCACACATCTTGGGAACGTAACAGCCTTTCATTAAGTAGATGACCTAACAAGCATTCAATTCAAATGACTTAGTCATTACCAAAAATTTTTAAATGAACCAATAAAGACAATTAGTGAAAGGAGGATAGAAATGATTAATACCATCCAAAAAAGTGTATTTAATGAATGAGTGAAACAAACCATTACTATCTCAGTAACAGCTTTTCAAAATTAGAGCTGCATCACGTGTTAAAAAGGAAAGCATTGCAAGTTTTGCAGAATGGGAAAAGTGATCAAACCTGTTAAGATACACACCAACGTGTGAAGGGTGTAGGAAGAGGAATCAGACCCAGTATTTTGTATGGTCAGACGATGAGTTTCGTATTTAAATGACAATTTTGATAAACTAAATTTTAAACGCACATTCCACAAAAGCCATACTTTTCAGTTCCTTCATTTGTTGTCAAAAAACGTGACACATACATAGACATGAAAGTATGACCTTTCACTTTATTGTTTAAAATACAGCTTTCAGGTCACATGATTACTCTACACTAACAGTATTTCCATTATAGGAAATCATCAATTTTGATGTTAACGATTCATTAGTTCAAGGTTAAACACTTTCCCAAGTCTCAAATGTCTTTAAGAAATTCTTTCTTTTCCTCAAAATACTTGTGAAACCACTCAATATGTTCAATCTTCTGTTTAACACTGAGGTGCGGGTTTTTCGAAAGCCCACAGATGACTAGTTCCATGAAGTGGCGAATAGGTCCTTGCTTGGGAAAATCTTTGAGGTGTTTCTCCAGAAAGATATGTTCATGAAATTCAGCATCATCCTCCATCCCTAAGAGAAGAGACAAAAAAAGACAAAGCTATTAGCATACTAGAACAGCAAATTTAACTGAGTTAAAAAGAATTACAGTTCGCAAATAATCTTAAATCACACAAAACATGTCAGCATTATCACAGTCCTGACTAGCATATTACTCCCATTTTCTGCTCTCATTTATAAGAATATCTACATCAGCTTTCTGGCTGGTAGTCTTGCTGAAAGCTGATGCCAGGGCAGAAGCAGAGAGAATAATTAAAAATTAAAAAAATAAATCAATCTTCTTGCTAAAACCCAGTTTGTTCAATTACGTGAAGAGTCTGATTCATCATGGGTACCACCTTTTAGATTGGGGACACTTTCTTCATAAATGTTTTATGGAAATACTGATTGCTTAAATTCTGCAGAGGTTAAAGAATACAAACTAGTCTTCAACAAATGAGGCAACCTCATGATGTATCTAATACTGAACAGCTGAAACACTTCCATGTTCATTCCAAGTCATGGTTTTAACATCCTATTGTTACCAAAAGGGGCACAGAAAGTTGTCTTTCTAACACTTTCTGAACCAGTGAGTGTATGCTGATGTAAAATGTCATGTAGCTCACCAGCTGCTAGTTTTAAGTTGTAGCCAGCGCAAAAGATGATGCATCCACAGGAACAAGGGATTATTGTAAATCTCTAAACAAGCACAGCTCAGATCCTACGGTAAATTTTTGTTCTCTGTCTTGTGGATTTCCTTTGGTGTTGTTCATGCTATGATGCCAGTGTACACATGGCAAAGATGCAGAACACAGATTCCTACATAAAGAAAATAGGCTGCTTTTGCAGTTCCCAATTCTGAGACAAAAAAAAACCCAAAACAATGTAAACTGGGATTTGCAATTAATTTTGTTTCAGTAAGGGATATGTGGAAATTTTTATTTGACCCTAAATTTGTAAATGACATTTGCATCTTTAAGTAAAAATCTGTTACTAGACATACAAATATTTTCAGATTACAAGATTGGCAAATCTACACCACAGACTTGTTTTTCTATACATGTTTTTCTGTAACTAGCTAGGATATGATACATCATTTGACAAAATTAAATCAGGACTACTAAAATTGAGGTAATTAAGCCATGCCGGTCCTAGGCTTCCTCCTGTGTTAGAGCTTCTAGAGTTTCAGAAGAAATGATGCACACCTCTGGGATGGAGAAGTCTCTCAGCTTGTATTCATTAAGTTTGCATTATTTCTTTCCTATTTTAAACTTTAGGTACCGCAACTTTAGGAATCTGAAGAAGCTGGGAAATACCCCACAGATTTGTCCTACAAATACCCAAGTGTATCAGTACCAGCTACATGCCACATTTATTTCCCTTGTCCTTGAGAACAAAGGATGTTTCCTTCTTCAGAAGCTTTTTCCTTTATGTTAAAAGTTTCTTGAAAAGGTCATGTCAACTTTCTAAGGTCCATTTCTGCTGTGCTTGGAGACCTATGTTCACTTACAGCAACACAGAACGCTTTTGAACACCTCCAGAGATGGTGATTCCCTGGGCAGCCTGTTCCAACACTTGACAACCCTTTTAGTGAAGAAATTTTTCCTAATATACAACCTAAACGTCCCCTGGTGCAGCCTTAGGCCATTTCCTCTTGTCCTATCATTGGTTATTTAGGAGAATAGACCAGCCATCTCTCTCCCTCCTCCTTTCAGGTAGCTGTGGAGAGCAATAAGGTCCCCCCCGAGCCTTCTCTTCTCCAGACTAAACAACCCAGTTCCCTCAGCCGTTTCTCATCACACTTGTTCTCCAGACCCTTCACCAGCTTTGTTGCCCTTCTCTGGACCTGCTCTAGCACCTCAGTATCACTCTTGCAGTGAGGGGCCCAGAACTGAACACAGGATTCAAGGTGCAGCCTCACCAATGCCGATTACAGGGGGAATGATCATTTTACCACGCCACCCACACCAACTTTCCCCAGTGAAACCTCACCGTACCTGGATGCTGCTGGTTGCTTTCACAAGCTAATATACTTTCCAGATCTCCATACTTTTGCTGGTCACAAAAAAACAAGAGCACTAAACCAATGAACCCACTACTGCAAGAATCTACATAAAGCTGGCAGTAAAATTTGACCTTCTAGATGGTCTTCTTTTGGGGATATAGAGTATCAGGAGAGATTTATGTCAAATTAATAATTTCACCAATTTTTATCTCTAACCCAAAAGAAATTAAACCATTTATATGTAGGTTAGAAGGAAACACTACATCGTGTATTTTGATCTCTCATTTGTCAAACACATGATATATTCAAACACATGGTATACAGTTTGGGATGAATTGTTAAGTCCAAACATTTCAGTTAGACCACATATTTCACACACTTCAGTCCTCAAAAAGAAAAAGAAAAAAGTAAAGTGTGCATCACAAAAAAGAGACCACAACTGCCCAATGCATCAGAGGCTGAAACCTCTGGTGGGAACTGATTAGATGAGATATGTTCGCATGACTCCCCCCACCCCCAGCATGCCGTAACTCCCGCTGCATGGGAAGAACCAGCCCATCCCTCAGCTTCTCTTGCACTGTCCTCGGAAACCTAATCTGAAAGAACATTCATGGTGGGAGTCTAATGTAGAAAGTTTTCTTCTTCAACCTCAAGGCAAGAAGTCACCCATTCTCAATATCCTATTTCCAATCCCCCATATACTACAAAGCAGAAAGTCTGGGGAATTTCTCTAGCTAGAACACTAACCCCTCCAAGACATATCAACCTTGCCTTAAAGATATCTCAAATGCAGATGTTCATCCTTGTAGGGAGTGTTGCTGACATGCTGTAAAGATATAAGGCTCCATCCCTGGCAGTGTTCAAGGCCAGGCTGGACAGAGCCTTGGGCAACATGGTCTAATGTGAGTTGTCTGTGCCCATGGCAGGGGGGTTGGAACTAGATGATCTTAAGGTACTTTTCAACTCTAATCATTCTATGATTCATTCTATGATTCTTTGGCAAGGTGATAGATTTTAGAACATTCCACTGGAATTTTCCACATGACTAGTCTTTGTAGACAAATCAATAAAGACTCTTGTTTAAGTATATGTAAAGACTCTTTGTCCATTCGGCACCCCATCCCAGACAGCACGGTTCCGGCCACATTGCTGCAAGAGAAAAACCACTGGCCGCCAAAGACACTTTGTCAACTTATGGCCCCAGACAGCAGGGTTCCAGCCACATTACAACAACAAAAAACCCATTGGCCACAATGGTTTTCAGCTTGCAAAAACATGACTAGAGCATATACTCAGATTGTTACATGATGGAACAGATCAATTCTGGGAGCAGGGATTAAATTCTGTGAAGAAACTGCCAAAATAGAATGAGAAGAAACATTAAGAAACAATGAACCACATTATGCAATTTGCAACTCAGTATAGGACAGATTTTCAAAGACTCCCAGCTTCAGATACTAACCTGTTTTGCTTTCAGTGACTGAATCATTCTAAAGTAGTTCTGTGTGATGTCTTTAAAGACTTCAAAAGAAAAAAAAAATACTAGTGCAGCCAAGCTCTCCCTGAAGTTATGAAGTCCCTTTTCCTTAGAGTACACTTGCTTCGTGTAGTTGTTCTTCCTTTCCTTAACACTCACTCTCTCTGCTGGCTTAACTTCACATACAGCTTTTTCTTTTATTTTTTTTTCACTGGTACTAAAAATAAATACTGTGCACAAAGATGTCTAGTTAAGATAGATGCCCAGAGTGAGTGAATATTGTGGCTGTTTATTCTTACGAAACAGACAGAACAAAGGGAACAAGCAACTGTTTAACACTCAGCCAGCACAGATATGGAACTGGCAGATAGCTGATTAGGATCCAGCTAGCCACTTGGTCTGAGAGCCACACCAAAGAACAGAGTCAGCATTATAAAGTACAGACAGCGGTTTTATGATTCCCCATCCTCTGCTAGAAGGTTCTTCAAAGAAGTTGCATAGTAAAAGGTATTATGTAATAGACTTGAATGGCCTTTTGGTGTTGAAAGCACCAGGACTGATGGAGGGAAGGAAATTCTCCCCTTTTTGGCAGCAGCCAGTCCTCAGATCAGCCAAACCACCTGGAGGACTTCACCTGCAGAGTGCCAGAATGAGTTCATCTGAAGCACCTCTGATTTGGGACAGTTGGAAAGTTGTGTTTGTTTACTGTCAAATGCATGACTCATAGCTGAAACACTACGTTTAAACAGTCAGAGGTCATAACTTGCTCTAATTCTTCAAAAACAAAGACAGACAGACAATAAAAGTTAACAGTGCACATACCAGCTTCATTGTCAACTGGGTACTCCCACAGTAGTCCATCTTTTGTCCACTGAATCATCTCCTCAAAACCGTTTCGGGGAGGCTGTGCAGTTACTGCTGCAACCTCCTTTGCAAACTCCAGATCCCAGATAGTTGGTGAAGATACTAAAAAAGAAATTTTGTAAACATCTGTCAGCATGCTAAAGACTTCTCACTAGCTAAAACTAAGTCCTTTAACAGTAACCTTCACAAACATTAGTTCTTTCGGCTGTGAAGATTTTTCTACCTTAGATGCCAGCATCACCTTTCTCAAATGAGAATTCTCTGTTGACATGAAAGTCCATTAAAGACTCAGTTACCTGGTCAAAATGTACTCTGAACTCCTAGGTGACAATTTCTTTTTAGACCTCTCACACAGAGCAGGAATTTAAGTTTTCCACAATCTTTTTTTCCTTTTTCTCTTTCACAGCTTATATGTATATGACAAACTCTGAACTCGACTGCTGCACTCTGCTAAAGTAAGCTTGCTTGCTACAGGAGTTTCAGGTACTTCACAACGATATTCTCCTTCAGGGAGACAACTCAACCTACTGATGACAATTCTTCCCCCAACACTTGTGAGTGTCCTAGTTTTTGTCTCCCGGGTTTGAGAAATCCTGAATTCCTATTCTTCTCCTCTTCTCCCAGAGTCAGACAGTCCCTTTAGGGATGCATCTTTCCTGATACTTTTTTTTTTTTAAACCAAAGTGTAGTCATATGGCAGCAGAATTACTCTTGAGGAGTTCCTGCCCCTCCACCCAGGAGAACTGGTCATGAGCCCAGATGGAACCACATCACTGAAATGCAGGGAACAAGCTGTTACCAGAGGACAGGGAGGAACCACTGGCAGTGCTTTGGGCTGCGGTCTCATGAGCTGGCCTACGTTGTGCTGCCCTTCGTTTTCTTCTCTCCCCCTGCTATCAATTCACACTAAGCTCTATAGAACAGAGTTCTTGATGTGAATTCAAATATTACAGTCCATTTGACGTGGATCAAAGCCAATCAGCTATTATTTTACTACTTGTAAGTGCAAGTATTTGAAACTAAGATACAATTTCATCTTTGCCTTAGTGGCTTACAACCCAAATGAGTTAAAAAAAACCCGTCCCCCCTCCTTTGAGAAAAAAGCAAAATGAAAGGGCAAACAGTATTTTTACATACTGAAAAGTAGTCTCATTTTTTGTGTTAAAACAGAAGATACTTCTGTGAATTATTTCTTATTTAGCAGAGAAATTGCCAGAACTATATGCCCCAGCTGCCTACTTTGATTTGAGGGCTGATAGCAGGAATAAAATACAGATAAAATACAATATGAGAAACCATACCAGAATGAAATTATTGTCCACATCTAAAAGAATACCTTCTAACAATGCCATACTAATAAATCTTCTATTAGACGAGAGCAGAATATATTTTTTAAAGCTTGCAGTAAAGGTGATAAACACTATATTTTCACCTCTGTGAAACTGAAAATACTGACATTTTATGTTAACAGTTAATGATATGTTATGTTAACAGTTATGAGGGTTTTTTTCAGGATGACAATTCACTTTCCAGTGAACATTCAGATTTTTAAAATAAATATTCAACACATGACACAGAACTTGCTTTTCTGTCATGTATAAACAATATTTTAACTCATTATCTCCACTACTATGAGCCAAAACAGAATCAAATGCATAAAGGCATCAAGTATCACACTGGTATTTCCTGAGATCAATGCCAAAAAAAATGTCATCAGGCTCTCTTACACAATTTGTGCATATTCCAGTTTTGTGTTAAAAAATAAAATGTATCTCAACTTTTTATCTTGGGTGACTACTATATGCCATTGAGTCTGCACTGTGCTCATGCAAACAAGAAAGGTTCAATTCTCCCAGTAAATCTGATTCAATTAAAACAACAGTTACTTGCACATCGTATTTATCAAGATAGGTAAAAACAAACAGTGCACCTCTAATGTAAAATGAACCAATTTTATGGAAATGGATAGTCTTAAAAACCAGCAAATTGAATTCTATTCTAATACACAGCTCTCATAGTCCACCACAGAGGTCACTGCATTCAGAAAGCTCATAGCTGCCTGAAAATATGCAAATAGCACTATGTGACATTTTACTGAAGAAATTACGTAAACAAATTAACTTCTCCCTGCAGTTTCAAGTGTGGAAAAAAAAGAAGGAAACTACTCAGCTAGAATCTGGCAAAAGCCAGCAGTCCTGCTCTTGAAATGGAAATAAATATGTATCATTTTCTAAGATAGCAGAGAGAAGTACTACTTCTTCTGCAGCTGCTGGCTTTATATAGAGTTCTAAGTCACTACACTGGAATAAAGGTTTGGGTTTTTTTTTTTTCCCCTAAAGGGCCTCAGAATAGCTTAGG